TGGGGCCTGGCGGAGGGCCGGGCGAGGGGGGCGAGGCCCTGGGCAAGTGGGGGCCGGCGGAGGAGGCCGGGGCCTCGCCCCCCGGGGTGAACCGGGTGTTCTTCGTCCGCCTGCTGCGCCTGCTGCGGATGCTCTTCCCCGGGCCCCTGTGCCGGGAGACGGGCCTGCTGGCCCTGCACTCGGCCGCCCTGGCCAGCCGCACCTTCCTGTCGGTCTACGTGGCCCAGCTGGACGGGCGCCTGGCCCGCTGCATCGTGCGCAAGAACCCCCGCGACTTCACCTGGCAGCTGGTCCAGTGGCTCCTCATCGCCCTGCCCGCCACCTTCGTCAACAGCGCCATCCGCTACTTGGAAGGGCAGCTCAGCCTGGCCTTCCGGGGGCGCCTGGTGGACCACGCCTACCGCTTCTACTTCGAGGGCCAGACCTACTACCGGATCAGCAACATGGACGGCCGCCTGCGCAACCCGGACCAGTCGCTGACGGAGGACCTGGTGGCCTTCGCCAGCTCCGTGGCCCACCTCTACTCCAACCTGACCAAGCCGGTCCTCGACCTCATCGTCACCTCCTACACCCTGGTCAGCTCGGCCCACTCCAAGGGGGCCAACACGGCCTGGCCGTCCCTCATCGCCGGCCTGGTGGTCTGCGTCACCGCCAAGGTGCTGCGCTCTTGCTCGCCCAAGTTCGGCCAACTGGTGGCTGAGGAGGCCCGGCGGAAAGGCGAGCTGCGCTACATGCATTCCCGGGTGGTGGCCAACTCCGAAGAGATCGCCTTCTATGGGGGGCACAAGGTAAAAATAAACAGGGGGGGGCATTGCTGGCAGTGGTCCCGCTAAACTGTGGAGTCCTGTGAGCAAAAATTATCCTTGGTGAGCTGCTGGCATTTGAGTTGTGAGGCAGCGGTTTGGCTCCTGCATAAAATTAGTTTGCTCTGGAGCCGTCCTGCCTGAGCCGAGACAAAAACCTGTGAGCCGGAAGCTAAAACAACTGTGAGCTGGCTCACACTAACTCAGCTCAGAGGGAACACTGGTTGCCGGAGCTCTCTAGGAGCAAAATGGAGAGGAAGGGAGCACCAGAGCGGTGCCAGGAAAGGGTGTTCTCGGCCTGCGTTCGGCTCCTTCCTCTGCCTTCCCTGTAGGGCTAAGCCGTGAAATGGAGGCTGCCGTCTCTCTTAAGCCCCGCGTGAGCCAGGACGGCTCCAGAGAGGGCGAGGGACGCACGGCCTCCTTCCTTGTTTACTTCCTTTTCTGCCTGTGTTGCCTCATTCCTTGAATGCACCCCGGGAGCCAGGCTGGGCCCTGACCTGATTTTATCGGTCTGGGGATCCGTCCCGGTTGGTGAGCCGCCTCCAGGGGTTGCCGCCAGCAGCTCCCTGAATTTCTGCAGGGAACTCTCTCTCTCGTCGCCCGGCCACGGCTCAGGAGCCGTCCATGTTTGCCTTGGCCACCGAGAATCCCTGTTTGTGTGTTGTGGGTGTGCGCTGAATGGCCGTGGGGTATGTAAGGTGGCGGCGGTGAGGAACTCCGGCTCTGGAAAGCGGGCGGATTCCAGCAACAGATACTTGCCGGGGAAGGAGGGTGTTGGATCGTTTCCCTGTTTCTCTGGCAGCCGGCAGGAGAGGGCTGTTGGCAGAAAAACGGAGAGCCGATATTGATCTTGACATTTATTGTGGGGGGGGGGTCAGATAGCACACTCCCCCCTCCCCCCCGGCAACCCCTCCTCCGAATCCAGCTGTGTCATGAAAAGTCCAAGGCCGGAAGCTGTCTGGCACGGAGCCGGAATCGAGGGTAACTTTAGGTCACGCAGGCCTTAATGGGGCCCGGCTTTTGTTCTCTGCCTTTCCTCAAAACTGAGACACACAATACACACACACACCCACACATACCTGTTGAACAAAATGCCTGTAGGAGAAATGACTTAATTGTAAGTTGGAACCAGTGTTCCCTCTAAGCTGAGTTAGTGTGAGCTAACTCACAGATTTTTAGCCTCCGGCTCACACATTTTTGTCTTAGCCCAGGAAGGAGGGCTCCAGAGCAAACTGATTCATGCAGCAGCCAAATGGCTCGCTCACAACTTTAATGCCAGGAACTCGCAAAGTGGAGTTTTTGCTCACAAGACTCCAGAGCTTAGAGGGAGCATGGGTTGGAACTCATGACTTGTCGAAGTGCCGATGCCCTCTGCAATGTGGTGGGGAAGTTGAATGGCCTCCCCTTGGTTTCTGTGGGTAGCTGTGTTGGTCTGCCGTAGGAGAGCCGGATTCGAATCCTGTAGTGGGGGGGGCACTCTTGGGCTGTTCGCGGCTGAACCAGACAGCCCCCCCTCCCCTGAATTCATCTTAGGGCAGCACAGCTGCAGGAACAGTTACTCAGAAAGTCAAGGGCCGGAGCCCCTGATGTTTGTTTCGACCTGAGTGGAGTAGCAGGCAGTGTTCCCTCTAAGCTGTGGAGTCTTGTGAGCAAAAATCCTACCTTGTGAGCTCCTGGCATGAAAGTTGTGAGCGAGCGATTTGGCTGCTGCATGAATTAGTTTGCTCCGGAGCCCTCCTTCCCGAGCTAAGACAGAAACCCGTGAACCGGAGGCTAAAAAACTGTGAGCTAGCTCACACTAACTCAGCTTAGAGGGAACACTGGTAGCAGGGGACTTTGAACTCCCATGTTTTTCTTTCCTTAAAGAACCGCATTTGGCTCTTCCAGATTCGAATCCAGTAGCACTTTATTGGAGACCGGCCAGATGGTCAGGGTGTCAGCTTTCGAGTGTCAAAATCCCCTTCATCAGACACGAATAGGAAAGGGGATCTCAGGGTCCTTTTATCCTAGTCAGACTGTAAAGAAAAGGAAGGGGGAAATGATGCCTTTCCTTGCTGGGAAACTCCCTTCGACCAAGGGTTCCTGGGAAGGTACCCTGGTAACCAGCTGCCACCGCCCAGGACCTCCTGAGCACATCTAGACTGACCCGCTGAGAAGGTAGTCTTCCAGTGCAGTACCGGAGCAATAATCTCTCTTGGGGGACCTGAAGCGAAAAATGTAAAGTGTTCTGGCCCATACGGGCTTGTTTCTTCCCCTGGTGAGAATACCGCAGGGTCTCCAGACCAATGCTCCCTCCAAGCTGTGGAGTCTTGTGAGCAAAAGTTCTCCTTTGTGAGCTACTGTCATTAAAGTTGTGAGCGAGCCATTTGGAGACTGCATAAATTGCTTTGCCATGGAACCATCCTTCCTGAGCTAAGACAAAAATGTGTGAGCTGGAGGCTAAAAAACTATGAGCTAGCGCACACTAACTCAGCTTAGAGGGAACACTGCTCCAGACTAGCCCTTTTCTCCTCTGTTGCCATTATGCATCTTACTCATTTGGTGTTGTGGTCGAGTGCGCGGGACTCTAATTTGGGAGAACCGGGTTTGATTCCCCACTCCTCCACTTGCACCTGGCTGGATGACCTTGGGCAAGCCTTAGCTCTGACAAGAGCTGTTCTTGAAAAAGGGGAAGGGAAGGAGATTGTAAGCCGCTCTGAGACTCTGAGTGAAGGGCGGGGTATAAATCCAATCTCCTCCTCCTCTTCTTCTTCTCCTCTCCCTCCTCCTCCTCCTCCTCCTCCTCCTCTTCTTCTCCTCCTCCTCCTCTTCTCCTCCTTCTCCTCCTCCTCCTCTTCTCCTCCTCCTCCTCTTCTTCTTCTTGTTGTTGTTCAGATGATGCCTTCCACTGCTTTGCGACGATCTTTCCCAAACCGTCTTAGCACGATACTTTCAGAAGGATCGCAGTCAAAGTCGTGTTGGATGCCATGTTGATGGGGAAGTGAGCGTTTTTGCTGTTCCCGCGACTTCAGCACCCTTTTCCTTACCTCCATCATTGTGGCTTCATCCTCCACACACACACACACACACACACACACACACACACACACACACACACACTGGAGGGCTTCTGGGGGCCTTTAAAAAACTCGTACTCAACAGATAACTATAGTGCGATAATATTATACCGATAGATTACAACAATGTACCGATTCCCGGCCTTTGTTTAAAAGGCAAGCTGGGCCTCTGGCCTTCTTCAGTGCGCATTTTAATGCAAATCGCGCAGGCTGCACATTCCCCACTCCTCCGCGTGCAGCTGCTGGTGTGACCTTGGGTCAGTCACAAGTTCCCTCACAGCTGTTCTCTCCAGAGCAGTCCTCAGGAGAGCTCCCTCAGCCCCACCTACCCCATAGGGTGTTTGTTGTGGGAAGGGGAAGGGAGAGGAGATGGTAAGCCGCTCTGAGACTCCTTTGGGTAGTAAAGGGCGGGGTATAAATCCAATCCCTTCTCTTCTTGTTCCCTTTATAACTTTGCAACGAAAAGGGCTAGAGCCTTATTTACAAGAGCTGCGCGATCATCTCTGCGTGTAGGTTGTTTGTATCCCTGTACACACCCTCTAATTATGCTACTTGATTCCAGAGGAGAATACGGGATAGCAGTGTAATTCTTTGTGTATGCAAGGTCAAGGTGTATGCGGTGTAATTCTTGGTGTATGCAAGGCGCTGTTATCCTGTTTTTTCTGCCTTGATACACATGGAGTTCCCAGGAGAAATCCTAGAATCCTAAAGTTGGAAGGGGTCACACAGACCATCTAGTCCAACCCCCTGCCCAGTGCAGGACCAGCCTGAAGCATCTCTGGAAATTGTTCATCCAGCCTCTTCTTAAAAGCTGCCAGCTAAAGGGAGCTCACCGCCTCCTTAGGCAGCTGATTCCACCTCTGACCGTGAAAAAGTGTGTCCTAATATCCAGCCGATACCTTTCTGCGTGTAATTCAAAGCCGTCGCTTCGGGTCCTATCCTCTGCTGCCACCTGGAACGGCTCCTTGCTTTCCTCCCAACAACAGCCTTTCAAAGATTTAAAGAGACCAATCATGTCCTCGTTCCTGTGCCTTTAAGAGCAGCCGGGGAAGCTTTCCTCTGCATGGACTTTGTGACCTGTGAGCGCTGTCCAATCCGCCTAGCGCAGGAGCCCCGGAACGGCTCCTTTGCACAACACCCCTCGAGGCTGTAGTCCTCATGAACCAGGCCAAGCGCTCTTCCAGTAGCAGCGCAACGACGGCTGCCAGCTGTTTTGTTTTCGTCAGCCTTAATCGTGCCCCCCGTGCAGCGGGTAGGTGTTTAGAAAGCGCGCGAGCGGCATTTTCCCAGGCATGGAGGTAAAGCGACGAGAGAGGTTTCGCCAGCTCGGCTTGCGCCTATCTGGCTGGTCTCAAAACGAGCCGGATCAGAACGCCGGCTGGCCTGGGAAAGCCGGAACCCTTCTCGTCGTATGCGAATGAAACGATGCCTGCCTGGCGGGGATGTCTCCGGGTTCCACGGTGACCTTTTCCGTACGGCAGCGTTCTCCTGTGGAAACCCCTGCGCCTCTGCAACCACCGGTGCTGTGGCAGTGAGGTGTAAACACATGCATCTCCCAACATCTTCCCTGCTGTGGCCATGCCCCCTCTCATGCATCTTCAAGGAGTGTGCAAAATGTTGGTACTTGACCTGCCGGCACGCTGTTATACTGATGTATCCCTGCGTCGATTGCGTGTCTGTAAACTAGCAAGTCATGGTGACCCTGGAGGTGGGTTGCCATTGCCTGCCTCTGCGTAGCAACCCTGGACTTCCTCAGGAGTCTCCCGTCCAAATACTGACCTTTGGATAGTGAAGGGCAGGGTATAAATCCAATCTCTTCTTCTTCTTTTACCTCACAGGGTGTCTGTTGTGGGGAGGGGAAAGGAAAGGAGTCTGTAAGTCGCTCTGAGACTCCTTTGGGTAGTGAAGGGCGGGGTATAAATCCAATCT